ATGTGAAAACCGTCCCAGGGCCTGAATATGTTCGCAAGGCGCTGTACAATGGCTGGAGGCAGCAGTCTGATCTGTTTAATGACAAACAGCTATGGCCTCTGCCTTGTCTGTCCGGTCTCATCTCCTCTATAACTGCATAACTGCAGCTATGAGGTCTTCCACAAATCATACAAATGCCAGACAAAGCTTCTGCAAGCTTACTGGAAGTTGTGCAACACAATAAATGACCCTTGCTCATACATGCTTAAAACATTTTAGTTTCAGCACAGACATACAATATGAAATGGGAGAGCTCGCTAAACACAGAACTGACATCCAGTCACTTGCTATGAATGTACTTTTCTGGCTCTGTTGGATAATGCCAGGTTAAGCAGGCCTGGAAGGACAAAGAAAGAAGCGGATGTCACAGACAGTTTGTGAGGCCGCACACACTCTCTCATGTGCAATGAAACTATGAGGGTATCTGTGTATCTGAGGTAAAGGTTTCTATGTATCTGAATGTGTAATAAGGTTATTCTCCTTGTGGTCTTGCTTATCTTGTGTTTAGTACTGTACTTAACCTGATTAGCAGAATACTGCAGATATTTCTTATTTGTGGTAGTTCACCTTTGTATTCAATTAACTATAACGTCCCAGTCACTGAAACATCATGCAGTCTGGACGAACGAACACTTCAGGCTCGAATTTCTTGGTTTCTACACATACAAGCCTCCTTGTACGCCCAGTTTCACAGAGTATCTGTGGCTTCAAATCCCCGGTTTAGTTCTCTTTCGGGGGCCCGTTGTTTGAATTTGAACACGTGCTGGGGCTGTTTCCGACAGGTGGGCTGTAGAGACTGGGACCTGGAAGGGAGCAGTGAACTTTGCCGGGGGTGTGGCTCGGAGAGAGGGACAGGCCTGTCTAACCCTGACCACACACACACAGACACAACTCTGGCTGGAGAGCAGGACAGACTCCAGAGGAAGAAGGTGAGGAGGCGAGGAGGAACACCCAGCTCTGTCTCTGGTCCTGTGGCACAAGTCCAGATGCCCTCTCTCCATGATAAAAACAGCTAATACTCCATTGCTGATCCGCAAGATCTAAGCTGACAGGCACTGAGACACCTTAACAGCAGGCACGGGCAGTGCTATTTTACTCCACTAGGAGACACTGTCGGCGACACAGACAATGTGTTACAGAAAAGGAAACTTTCACACAATTACAACTGTATTTTAAGATCTTCACTTCACATCAATCTGAAACTCCATTGTAGACTGCATCTAACACTTGAAAGGGAAGATATAAGCAAATAACTACACAAAGCAATGTGAAAACATGCACTATTGCAACCCAGAGGGACTGTTCAATGCATGAGGTGCAATCAGCAGGTTTGTGCTTACATCAGCTGAATGGCACTAGAGTTCAATCATAGCAAAACATAGCATGTCAATGTTATTTCAACACATTTGAAATCTAATTAAATTGAGCCTCTTATCTCACAGAATAACCACTGTATCTATTATCCCATACCCTTCATGCATTCTATTATTTTTTTCAGTAAGGGTTACCAAATAAACTACAACAAAATGCCTTTCATATCTGAGTGAAAAAGACAGGGAGTTTTCTGTCTTCCTTCTTATGAAGTAATATTATTATGAGATAAAGAGAGATTCAGTGCTTTAACCAAAACACGGCTGTCTCTGGCTCAGTAAGAAATATTAGATACAGGTACGTGTTTAATGGGACAATCAGTATGGGTAGGTCACCCCTGTCAGTGAGGAAGCCCTCTCCAGATTTTGTTTCTACTAGTGAACAGGTTAGCCTTCCTGTTATTCTTGTTGGCTCCGATAGTTTCACTGGAAAGCCAAGACTGTTAAAACGACACAAAAAAGCATTTTAAACCAAGAATCGAGAACAGGAGGCACATCATTACTCATAGGGTGTGGGAACATGGAACAAGCCTTCACGGACTTTACTGTATGTGGTTTTAGTCTCACGGTCCAGTTCTATTTTGTGAGCACTTTGTTTAAATGGAAACATTGCCCAGGACTGTGCCTGACAGCGAACTGGAACAGGGCAGTGAACTCTGCCCGGGGCGTGGCTGAGAGAGGGAGAAGACCAGCAGTGTTGGTGAAACTGGAAACCCTGGGTTCTTCCAAGAGATGACTGGAAGAACTGGATCCATTCCTGTAGCTACTAATGACCCAATGGGGCCCAGATGGGCTGTGGCCTTCTCTCACTTGCAGCCTTTCTTTCATACTTATCTCCTTAACTGGTTTACAAAGAGCTCTCTCCATCCCCTGTTCTTCAGTGTGCCTGCTGCAACACAGGACTCCGATTTCAGGAGAAAAAGGAAAGCACAAGTCAAAGGCAACTGTGACCAAATGTGATGACCCTCAGTGTATCCGAACATACGTGACTTCAGATGTCCCCTTAAAGTGGGACATTGACGCTTGCGTCTTAACATAAAAAATAAATTTTAAGATAATAAATTACTTAAGCTGGAAGCTGGAAATGTATAACGGTGTGAGCATCAGAAGGAGCTAAGAATGACAACACTGGCAGGCATCCACTAATAAAGTATTACTGTAGATGCACCTCAAAAGCAAACCGACACCTCTCCTTTTGCTGTTGCAGTAAAAAGGCACATGTACTGTACAGTAATTACAGCGTCACATGGAAGCACAGCCATTAATCAATCTATGGAGTGGAGGGAGGAGGGGGTAAGTGTTTGGGAACTGGGTGACTACACTCATGTGAGGATCAATAGAGCGATCGCATCTTCCTGCTGGGAATACCGACATGGGGAATTTCTGAACGTCTGGACACTTCTGATTCCAAATCTCAGAAGTCCAGCTTATGCTTCACTTTGAATGTGTAACCCATTATTTCTTTCAGAACTGTAACATACAGTATGTTCCCCCACTCCGTCACCCTTTTTATAAGAATTAAGCAAAGGGAAAGGTTACATAAATGGGAAACATTCAAAGACTCAGCTAAAAACAGAACTGTTTGGTAGATAAGGACAATGTATACATCTGAAGCACTGCCAAAGAACTGAAATTTACATTCATTTGTGAAATACAATACTAAAAGCACTTGATGTCTAAGCTTGTTATGTAAAAATGATAATTTTCTTGTCGTGAAGCCTGCCGAGTAACGCAGAGAAGACAGAAGCTTTTTTTTAGATGGATGTCTATTTTAATTTCTGCTCTTAAGCAACCATAATGTCTCGAAATACATCAAGGTTTCTATTTGAATAAAATGTGAATTCTTCCATTTTATTTATGGAGAGCACATTATTGAATCAATTTCATCTTTAGTGTGTAAAAAACATAAAAAGGGATTAATAGTTATCAAACATTTTGTAAAATACCAACAGCTGAAGCTGAGAGAAAGAACTGATTCTTTCTTTGCCTAAGTGTTACATCTCCCTTCTGTACAAAAGAAACATTGTAATCAAACAATAAATCTCAAGTTTTTACACTTCTGATCATTGCAAGAATGAGGACAGTGGAAGGAAAGTTCATATTGAAACTGACACTGCATGCAAAACAACTGAAATAAACTGTCCTTAGCAGGTAGAGTATGTGACATTTTCAACACTTTTCCCACATAACAGTTTGATTTCAAAACCATGACATGTTCAGCTCATGTGGTATTTGTCTCGTTCGTCTGTATTTTTGTGATCGCCCTCTCCAGCTATTCCTCGAGGAAAGAAGAATATGTTGAACACGCACAGCCAAGTTGTCAGATGCTCGCAACATCATCTTGCACAGCACCGCACTGTTACACACGTACAGTACAATGAGACTGACCCTTAATGAATGTGAGAATGTGTAATTCTACCAGCGTTGATTATCTCAACCCAAAACCTCTTTCTGTCCAGCACTGAACAACCCCAGAACGAGGCACTACATCACGGTTAATGGCCCACAGGAGTGAGCCAGTTGCTTTGGCAACAGTAAGACTGGATGCAGGTCATGTTGTGCACTGCTCCAGGGAAAAGCATGCAGGAGCAGGGAATGGTGGCACTAAATAATTGGCAGAGGGTTTAATTAAAGAGGCTCATGTGACGTTCCGCACAGATAGCACCCCTAAAACCAAAACAACGCACAATGTGAAGAAACGCACGCTGCTCAAAAGCATCCATATTACTCCGCGCCAACAAGTTTTAGGAGCACCAGCTACAAAGCTTTCATCATTCCCAGCTTTATTGTTAGGATCACAAATGTGACTGCTGCTACAATAATCGCTAGAATTCTTACGAGGGCAACAGCGAAGTATCAGAAAAGAAAAAAAAAAGATTGTTACATTTGTTCAGAAAAGCAATGTTTTCTCTCATCTATCCTTTTTAGAAATGCTGTGTTTTAAAAGCTGTGTTTTGCACCGCAAAGTGAGCAAAGCACATCGCCACCAACCAGAGAAAATGAAAGATGTTCAGTCTGACGTGTGTAGGCACCTATGCGATCCATTGGCATTTGAAACAATTAGGTGGGCACATTGGAATGGGCAGGTGAAAATGCACCCACAGGCTCTTTATACCACCCATGGCTTATTACATAACAAATAAGGTAGGAACTTGAGAATGTTATTCCAGGATAAACATATAGCGAATCTAAACTCAAACTATGGAATAACCTGTCACTGATGTGTGATTATGCAATTAAAAATAAGGAAAAGGAAAGAAGGAAGCCCCGTCCGAGAGAAATGACAATATTCAAAAGCCACCCCCCACCCCCCCCCACTCTGTGTCCGCTTGTGG